ATGCATTTTAAATTAGATAATTCAGTCTAGCATATGTATTTGTTAATTTCCTCCTATTTTTCAGTTTATCATGGTAGGTCAAGATTTGCATTTCATTCTGAAATGTATACACCCTAGTGTCTTAGTATTTGTTCATCTCTTTCAAATGTTTAACTCTTTGTTTCTAAAGCTGTTGCCAGACCTCATTCTCCCTTCTTTCCTTCTGACATGTACAATAAATATGACGTTATTCCTCCTCACAATATTTTCCCAAGTACTGTGAATTTCCACTGTTGGCCTCTCCATGGTGCATTCTGGACAATTCTCTCAAACTTTGTTTTCCAATTTACTAAATGTCTCTTCAGCTGTATCTTGACCTTGATGAAATAAATATTTTCATTGTATTTCTTCAATTGGAATTTTTACCTCTAGGATTTCTAACTCATTGGTCTGATGCCCATTCTTCGAAATTATAATCCATATTCTTGTCTCAAAGATTCAATTTCCTCTTGTACTTTTTTCAGATACTTAAACATTTTTAATTAAAAACAGGTCTCATGCATTCCCTGTGTTCTATTTCTCTGGATATGATCATCCTTATCAATGAGTGTGTATATTGATAATCATAGCACTTTTTATCATTAGAAGGATAACTCTGGGTTGTCTATCTTTGTTAGACACTCACTTTCTACACCCATTGGTGACCATAAAAGGCTGTTCTAGTAATTGCGGCCTAAAAATAGGGAGTTGTTCCCGCTGCTCATGACATGTGGCACTCAGCTTCCAAACTTAGTGTCTGCTCAAGTTGCTCCCAGAAGAAATAAATCCACGTGAAACTCAACGTGGTACACATGCCCACATGTAACAACACTGCAGTGAATTTGTTTCACACACACATGGGGAGTTGGCTCAGTGGGGATTATGGGCTGAGATCAGTAAGCAGAGATGTCCCATCACAGGCTCCAGCCTTGCTGAGAGCCCCGACCCCTCCCTGCCTGTGAGGTCCCTGGGCTCCTTACTTGTTCTGCACAGAAATGGAAACTTCCACCCTAATGACCCCTAATGGCACCAGACTCAAATGCTCTGTTTTCTTTTTTGTGTGTGTATGTGTGAAGATCCCATGTGTACTTGAGCTGAGGGTTTTCAGGGAGCCCTGAAAAGAGGAGAGTGGTAAAACGGGGTACTTCATTAGGTACTTGTACATAAGGCAAAGTACAAGAGTCTTCTTTGCCTTAAATTCTCCTCACTCCAGCCACCTCTGGGAGAGGCAGTGGCCAAGACCCGGAATGGGATGAAGGAGGTAGATTTATTTTTTTCTTTTCTCCTAAAGAATGCTGATTGATTCAGAGAATGGATAGATTTCCAGGTACTCTATGGCAATATGGTAAAAAAAAAAACTTGGTATATCTGCCAGTTGAACAGTAATGAATTACTTTTCTGTAAATATAATAATAACAATTCTCTTTCTGCATATCTATAACAAGTAAATAATCTGAAATGTATAAAAAAATTTATTTTTTATTTTTTTTTAAAGGAGAGAAGGAAAGAAAGGAGTGAAGGAGAGGAAGAAAGAGGAAGAAAAAGAGGGAGAGAGAACAGAAATGTTGCTTTATTCTAAAAATGAGTATTAATAATGGCCGATCAATATTTCATTTAAACCTGAGTAGGTGTGATGTGGTATTGACAAGAATGTGTATTTTGTATATTTAAAGTGGAGAGCTCTATAAATATTAAGTTTACTTGTTTCAGATCTGAGTTCAAGTCCTGGATATCCTTATTAATTTTCTGTCTCATTCAGTCTAAGTCTCTTTATAGGTCTTGTGTATCTGGGTGTTAGGATCGTTAGCTCTTATTGTTGCATTGATCCTTTTACCACTATGTCTTTGTTGCTTTAAAATCTATTTTATCAGATGTGAGAATTGCAACTCCTGCTTTTTATTTATTTATTTATTTTTGCTCTCCATTTAGTTGGTTAATCTTTCTCCATCCCTTTGTTTTGAGTCTTTGTGTATCTTTACACGTGAAATGGGTCTGGATGTAGCATACTGTTGGGTTTTGGCTGTATCTTTTGATTGGGGGATTTAGTCGATTTAAATTTAGGATTACTGCCATTTGATGTTAACTGGCTGTTTTGTCCATTCGTTGATGTAAATTCTTCTTTATGTTGATGCTCTTTACTTTTTGGTATATTTTTAGAAAGGCTAATACTGGTTGTTTCTTTCTATGTGTAATGCTTCTTTCAGAAGCTCTTGTAAAGCAGGCCTGGTGGTAACAAAATCTCTGAGTACTTGCTTGTTCATAAAATATTTTATTTTTCCTTCAGTTGTGAAGCTGAGTTTGGCTGGATATGAAATTCTGGGCTGAAAGTTCTGTTCTTTTAGGATGTTGAATATTGGCCCCCACTCTCTTCTGGCTTGTAGGGTTTCTGCTGAGAGATCTGCTGTAAGTCTGATAGGCTTCCCTTTGTGGGTAACCTGACCTTTCTCTCTGGCTGCCCTTAGTATTTTCTCCTTGGTTTCAACCCTGGTGAATCTAACGATTATGTGCCTTGGGGTTGCTCTTCTTGAGGAATATCTTTGTGGTGTTGTCTGTATTACCTGGAGTTGAATATTGTCCTGCCTTGCTAGGTTGGGAAAGTTTTCCTGAGGAATATCTTGAAGAGTATTTTCCAGCTTGGATTCATTCTCTCCGTCGCATTCAGGTACACCTATCAAACATAAATTCGGTCTTTTCACATAGTCCCATATTTCTTGGAGACTTTGCTCATTCCTTTTTCTCTATTCTTGTCTTCTCGTTTTATTTCATTAAGTTGGTCTTCGACCTCTGATATCCTTTCTTCTGCTTGATCAATTCGAGTGTTTAAACCTGTGCATACTTCTCAGAGTTCCCATATTGTATTCTTCAGTTCCATTAATTCACTTATATTCCTCTCTAAATTGTCTATTCTCATTAGGATTTCATCAAACCTATTTTCAAAGTTCTTAGTTTCTTTACATTGGACTACAACATGTTCTTTTAACTCACAGAAGTTTTTTCTTATCCACCTTCTGAAGCCTGATTCTGTTAATGGAATGTACTCATTCTCCATTAAGCCTTGTTCCCTTGTTAATGAGGAACTGTGATCCTCTTTAGAGGGAGCGGCATTCTGACTTTGAGTATTCTCAGCCTTTTTACTCTGGTTTCTTCCCATCATTGTAAATTTATCCACCCGTCGTCTTTGTAATTACCAACTTTCAAATTAGGTCTCTGAGTGGACGTCCAAGTTGTTAATTCCCAGGGCCAAAATCTGAGCAACCCACTGCACTGGCCAAAACAGCGGTGTTAAGACTGATGGTGCTTTTCTGCCCGGGAATCTCCAGTCTGGCTTCCTTCTTGAGTCCGTAATAGGCGACTCTGCCTTCCCAGAGCTCCAAATGTCAGTCAGAAGGGGAACCAGTCCCGTTTACTCTGCACCAAGAGCTGCCAGCCGAGGTGTCGGCAAAATGGCTGTGTCGGCCACAAGAGTCACACTGGCGACCCGTGGGGCTCCTCCACTGGGAATCTTTTAGTCCGTGAGCAACAAAAATTTGTCTGAAAGTGTGGCATCCTCTCGTTCTCTGCACTTTCACTGGGAGCTGCAATCCCGAGATGTTAGCAATCAGCCATCTTGGATCATTCTCTCAAATGCTCTGTTTTCAAATGCTTCTTCTGAAGAGCTTTCATTTCCTATTTTCTGCACATGACCATGACAACTGGGGTGTTGATGAAATATGGTAAGAAACATCTCTCAAGGGTAGGAACGAAGAGGGGATCCTGAGTGGAAACATCAGTCACAGGCCTTGAGCATGCACACCAGCATCCCTTCATGTCCCCGCCCCTCATGTCTTCACCTGCTCTGGAAATCACCCGTGGCTGAGCCCCGTGCAGCTCCCAGACTCCAATGACCCAGCTCCGCTGTGATGAATGGAGTTCATGACAGGCTTCAAATGAGGAAACTCAGGCTCAGAAATGGGAGGTCACAGCCAAGGTCACACGGGCAGGAGGTGTGACATGAATATTTAAATGAAGATGAGATTTCCCTTCAAATCAGAGTGCTAAACCCATGTATTGTCCCAAAACCAGAACACAGGAGCAAAACATGAGAATAGGAGTGTTTGAAAGTAAACGGGGGCACCAAGAAGGCAGAATCAGGTCAACGTTTCCAGGGAGATGGAGGTGGAGGCTGTGGTGACGACTAAGGAGAAGTTCGTGAAGGGAACATTTTTGCATAAAGAAAACCCACATTCCAGTTCTGGGAAAAGAGTCGTGATTCTTCCCTATTTCCCTATATTTCCTCTTTTGCTCATTGCAGCAATGAAGCACAAATGAAACTGCACAGACAGATGTGAGGTGAGTCTCTGCTGATCTGAGTCTGCCCTGCAGCCTGAATTCGCATCTTCCCTGAAGCCTCCCCAGGGCTGCTGAGAGGACTGGCCGTGGTAGGGACCCTACAAGGATATGTTTATGGATGAGCTGAAGGAGAAAGTGAGACCCCACGGGAAGGCGCTGAGAGGAAGGAAGAGTCCTCCATTGCCTTCACCTGGAAGGGACCGACTCTGGAAGGGACCGACTCAGGAAGGCACCACGTCCATTTGCGGCTACCTACTGGCCATAAATGAGATGAGGACAGGTCCGGCAGACAGTGAAAGGAGATCGGGGAGATCCCATGGTCGTCTGAAATATCAGCAGAAAACCTGGTGCCTGTCTCAGCCCAAGCCCTGGGAAAACAAGAGCCAGGCTTGCTTGTGGTTGTCGGGGGGACGGTTCGCTACCCATGGAGATGCTGATGGGAAAATCCTGTAAGCAGGGGAACATGGCCTCTGTGTGCCCACACCCTGTGTGTTCTGCGGACACCATGGTCTCCTCCATCTGCACATCCAGGGCCAGTAGCAGGAGACACCATGACTCTCACACCCATGTCCATGGCCCACTTCACTGAGATCTGACGAGGGGAACGGGAGATTCTAACATGAGAGGGACTCTGCCCTGCAGGTAGGCCCTGGTCCAGTAGGAGACCCCAGGGGCTAGGGAGGATTCCATTCCCATTTTCTTTTTTTTTTTTTTTTTTTTTGAGGCAGAGTCTCACTCATTCACCAGGTGCCAGGCTGGAGTGCAATGGCGTGACCTCAGCTCTCTGCAACCTCTGCGTCCCAAGTTCAAGCAGTTCTCCTGCCTCAGCCTCCCCAGTAGCTGGGACTACAGGTGCACACCACCATTCCCAGCTAATTTTTTTGTATTTTTAGTAGAGATGGGGTTTCACCATGTTGGCCAGGATGGTCTTGATCTCTTAAACTTGTGATCCACCTGCCTGGGCCTCCCAAAGTGCTGGGATTACAGGCCTGAGCACCCAGCCTCCATTCCCATTTTCTTGGGAAAATGTTTTCACTTCTCCCCAATCACACTGATGTTGCCTCTGGGTTTTCATGTAGGGCTCTTATTTTGAGGTATGTTTCTTTCATGCCTAGTTTGTTGAGGGATGTTGGACTTTAGTGAATACTTTATCTGCACCTATTCACATGATCATAGGCTTTGTGTTCTAAGTACAAGTTTGTGCCATGAGTCCTCTTTGTTGACTTGCATGTATTGAACCCTCCTTTCATCCTGGGAGGAAGACAACTTGATCATGATGAATTATGTCTTTGATGCACTGTTAGATTCTGTTTGCTAGTATTTTTTGACGATCTTTGCATCTGTGTTCATCAGCTTTCCTGGCCTGTGGTTTTATTCTTCTGTTGAGTCCTTGTCTGACTTTACTATCAGGGTGATACTGGTTTCATAGAATGAGCTAGGAATGAATCCCACTTCCTTGATTATTTGGGAATAGCTTCAGTGTGATTGCTACCAGCTCTTCTTCGTACATGTGGTGAAGTTTGACGGTGAATCCATCTGTTCCTGGGCTTTTTTGCTGGAAGAAGTTTTAGTAGTGATTCTTTTTCATTGCTTGTTGTTGGTCTGTTGAGGGTTTCTATTTTTTCCTGGGCAATCTTGGGAAGTTGTATGTGTCTAGGAATCCATCCATTTTCTTCTAGGTTTTCTGGTTGATGTGCATCAAGGTGTTCGCGGTCGTCTCTGATGATCTTTTGTATTTCTGTTGTGTTGGCTGTAATGTCATCTTTCTCATTTCTGATTGTGCTCATTTAAATCTCGTTTTTATTGGTTAGCGTAGTCAACCGTCTGTCAATTATGTGTATACTTTCAAAAGCCCAACTTTTTATGTCATTAAGTCTTTGTAATATTTTTGTCTCAGTCTCATTCTTTTTCTGTCCTTTCGGAGTTTCCTTTTTTTTCAGGGTCTATTGCCAGACAGTGAATGTGATCCTTGGTGGTGCCACAATATTCAGATTTGTCACACATCAGAATCCTCACACTGATTCCTTCTCATCCGGAGAGGCTGCCACTCATTCTCTTTGGATTTATTTTCACCGGGATGGGGTTCCTTTGCACATTTCCCCCAGCCCCACAGGGAGTGTGACTGTAGAGCATGTTGGGAAGGGTCTTTTGACTTTTTCCATAGTCTTGGGCGCTTCTGCAGCAGGGTTTGTGTTGGGCTGTGCGGTTCAAATTGCAGGCGGGGAGCTGGTGCTTAAGGGGAAGAGCCAGCCTCTGCACAAGCAGGTGGGTGTGGACCTGTCTGCTTCCTGTGAGGTGCTGTCCGTTGTTTCAGGTGAAGGGCTGGACTATGAAATGCCTGGAGCCCTGAGCTTCCTGTTCCGTGGGATGAGGAAACACAGCTGGGCAGAGCCGGAACCCCTGGCTTACCCACAAATATCCTAATGATGAGTGCAGGCACCAGGTCTGATGGATGTGGCTGGGGCAACTCCTGGTGAAATGCCCTGAGGTCTCTGCTGGGGGAGAAGTGGGGCAGGAAGGACCTGCATCCATTTCCATTCCTCAATGGGGAGGAACATTATCTGTTCCCCTATCACACCCCTGCTCCAGGGCTCATGAGTCTCTGTTCAGACACACACCGTTGTCTCTCCCCAGGCCACTGTGTGGCTGAGAGCCGTGGGAAACGCCTGCCTGCCACTCTCTGCAGGAATCATCCCAAGGTAGAACCTCCTCACTCAGCACAGCGTAGACACCTGCTGTCCATGTCTGTCATGGTCACACTGGTGCTTCATGTAGCTGGGATGTGGGGCTTCTACCTTTCTGGGTGGAGAAGTGGACATCAGTTGTGGTGTTGCTGGCTGGGGAGACCCGACCTCAGGCCCTGGGGTGAGTGGTCAGGTGCCAGCAGAGTGGGAAAGGGCTGGCAGTTCCCTGGATCACAGGCCTCTAGGTGGCCAGCTGAACAGCGTGTGTGAGTCCCAAAGGGGCTGGAATGGGATTCCACTGTTCCAGGTTTCAGGTGCCGGCTGTGATGAGGAGAAATGGACTGGTGTCCAGGTCACTGGCAGAACTCTCAGGTGGGGCAGGCAGAATTCTCAGGGGGTAGAGCCTGGGGGCAGATCACAGGCCTGTGGGGACTGGGCTATCAGAAAGGGGCTGAGGCTGAAATGTCCAGGTAGAGGCCAGGCAGCTGTGCTCTGGGCCGGTCCCTGAAGACAGCAGGCCCCTCGGCTGGGGCACTGGAGACTAGCAGGTGTGGGCCCAGGGCCCGCTCACACTTCCCTCCTGAAGAGGTGGCACTTGGTCTTGCTCTGGGGACACGCATAATTGCCAGGTCTCCCCATACTTTCCCTGGGCCTGGAGCTGTAGGGACCGAGGCAGAGGTGGCAGTGACTGTATAGGGCTTGTCAGGAGCCTCTGAGCATTGGGCTTTGAGAGGGCACCCAGCCAGGGCCACAGTGTTCAGGTGGGGACAGGATGGGTGCACTGGGGCCCTGAAGCTGGCAAGCCCCATTTAGCAGGAAGGAAGCCCCATTTAGCAGGAAGCAACAGAGATGGGGAGCTGTGGGGTGCTCAACTTGGCTGCTCTGTACCCCAGTTGTCATATTTATTCTGAGGTCCATGGAAGTGCCTGGCCTCCTCCCTCCATGGAAAGGCAGGGGCAGCTGGAGCCAGGTTGCTCAGGGATGGAAAGCCTATGGGATTCCATGTGGCTCCAGTGGGGCCTCAGCACACTCTCTAGGAGCAACCTGTGTGCCCCTGGAGGCCCAGAGGGGCAGGTACTCTCCTGTGAGCAGGATTGTAAGAGTCCACAGCAGAGGGGTGGATGCCAGGGGCTCTCCCTCACCCCTTCCCCATGTTAGGGGGCCTCTCACCCCTTCTCCTTTTCAGGGAGCCCCTTATTCACCCCTTCCTTGTGTTAGGAGCCTCTCCTGGCTCTCAGCTCATCTCTTCTCTGCTTTCTGTGTCCCTCTGCTTTCTGTGTCCCTCTGCTTTCTGGGGTTCTCTGGTGCACCCCAGCATCCTCTCTTAGAACATCCGCTTAACGTGTTGGTATTTCCTCACCATTTTGGTTCCTCTCTATGAGAACGGCACACACCACCTGCTTCCATTCAGCCAACATGAGCCTGAACCCACAGGCATTTTTTCAGCACTTCATACTCTTTGGAAATCCAGTCCTCATGAGATTGGCATTATTTGAGAATAAATTTCGTTTTTTCATTGGTTTTTAAATTACTGTTGTTTATTCTAGATGCCCTTCACTCTACATAGTTAAGACGTTCATTTCATTGATGAATTTGTGCACATTGAGTTCATGTTCTTTCTTCATTTCTGTACAAATGTCAACTATTTTCTCTGCAAGTGTTTACTAACATACTCCTTTCCTTCGCTCTGAAATTGTGACAGAGCGATGTCTGTTTACTCTTCTCATTCTATTTCTGCGCACATTAATTTTCTTTTCTTTTTTTTTCATTTCTAGGGTTTCTGTGATGGCTTCTGAAAAAGAGAATAAATACTCAGCACCAATATGATATTTATCATTTTAGCTGTGTCTTGTTCTGGATGAAATTATTTCTAAATTTGTTGATGTCATTCACTATTTTCACGTCACTATGGTTTCCTAATTCATTTCTGTAATCGCCTGTATTTTCTCTAATGAACTCTTTGATTGTTACTCCTCTGGGGTGGTTTTCTCTCACACACCTGATCTTCCTTAGGGCTTCTCAGGGCTGTCTCAGGAATGAGAACTGATGAGGGCATTGCTGTAGCTGCTCCTGCCCGGCAGTGTCCACTCTCCCAAGCTTAGAATCGGCTCCGTGTTGTGCGCGGCACAGCGGGGCCCTTGTGAGCCTCACACTCAGGAGTGGGAGATGCCCGGTCCAACAGCGATAAAGTGTGTCTGTGTTATGTGCACCCGGGAAAGGTGGCTCAGAGCTGAGTGTGGCCTGGCTCACTGAGCTGAGCTATTTCAGGGCCTGTCCACAAACATGGAAGAGAGGGAGCCACAGTCTCTCCATGGTGGAACAGTTTCCTAAACTTCTTTCTTTGTTCTGAGAGAGAGAAAGACAAAGCGCCACGGCCACTCTGTGGGCTGGACAGATGTATGTTTTCACTGCAGGCTTGAATCCAAGCTGAGGTCTTGAGCATTCCCAGCTACTGATAAAGCACCTTACGTTATTTCTAGAAAACACTGAAAATTTAACCCTTTTGCTGATGATGTAGAAACAAGCCCTGCCCTGAACAAAATTCCTGAAACTCTCAGGTTAAACTTCATGACCCCAAGCCCCTCACTGCAGACACCCAATAGGCAAGCCACAGTTACAAGGATGAGATGACTCATTTTTAAAAAGGGGAAGTTGAGATGGGAACTATTTGGTTGAAAGGAAACCCAAAATCCGGTTCCAAGAAAGAAGCCAACTTTCCTTCCCCTGTTTCCCTGCATTTCTGTTCTGTGCCCACAGCCACACACAGCTCTGCCTGGACTACACAGACAGATGTGAGATGCGTCTCTGCTGATCTGAGCCTGCCTGGAGCATGGACCTGCATCTTCCCTGAAGCATGTCCAGGGCTGAAGAGACAACTGCCTAAGTAAGAACCCCACACTGCTGTGCTGATGGACAGGCTGAAGGAGGGAGGGAGACCTCATGGGAGGCTGTGAGAAGGAACGGGAATCCTTAGCTTACCCTCATCTGGAAGGGCAGATACAGGAAGGCACCAGTTCTATTTGCTGCTATATCCCGGCTCTCAGTGAGATGAGGACAAAGCAGACAGACAGTGGCTGGGGGTCAGGAAAGATGCCATTACAGTCTGAAATGTCTGCAGAGGGGTTGGACCCACCCCCACCTCAGCCCTAAAGAAATGAGAGCCAGGCTCCTGGGGAGGGCAGTTCTGCTTCCTGTGTGGCTACAGATGACATAACCCCATGAAAAGAAGGACCCAGCCTCTGAGTGTCCACACCCTGTGTCTCTCTGTCCTGCCAGCACCGAGGGCTCATCCATCCGCAGAGCAGGGCAGTGGGAGGAGACGCCATGACCCCCATCCTCATGGTCCTGATCTGTCTCGGTGAGATTTGAAGAGGGAGGGGAAATTCTAACCTAGGAGGGACCTCACCCCAGAGCCAAACTCTGGACCATGAGGAGACCCCAGGGGCTCACAAAGACCCCAGGGAGGGGAGGACCTGCTCAGGCTTCAGGGGCAAATCTCTCAGGGGGAACTCTCTTCCAGGGCTGAGTCTGGGCCCCAGGACACACATGCAGGCAGGTGAGTCTGTCCCCAGCTGGCCCAGGTCCTCCTCACTGGGGATAAGGCCCACCCCCATGCAGCTGGGGAGGGGAATAGCAGTTCTGGGCTGACTGATGGGGGTCTGGAGGGTTTTGTGTCTGAGAGCTGGAATCTGTTGGGTTGGGTGGAAATGACTTAGAATCTGACCTCTGATTTCCTGCCAGGGACCTTCCCCAAGCCCACCCTCTGGGCTGAGCCAGGCTCTGTGATCCCCCAGGGGAGTCCTGTGACCCTCAGGTGTCAGGGGAACCTGGAAGCCCAGGAGTATCATCTATATATAAAAAAAGCATCAGCATCCTGGATTAAGCAGATCCCACAGGAGCTTGTGAAGAAGGGCCAGTTCCCCATCGAGTCCATCGCCTGGCAACACGCAGGGCAGTATCACTGTCAGTATTATAGCGACACTGGCTTGTCAGAGCCCAGTGATCCCCTGGAGCTGGTGGTGACAGGTGAGAGACACTCAGGGGTCCCAGCCCCAGGCTCTGCCCTCAGGAAGGGGCTCTGCACTCAGGGGCATCTCCCTCTCACAGCCCAGCCCTGGGGATGATGTGGGAGGTGTGAGCCCCACTTATCACGGGGCCTCCTTCTCTCCTAGGAGTCTACAGGAAACCCACCCTCTCAGCCCTGCCCAGCCCTGTGGTGACCCCAGGAGGAAGCGTGACCCTCCAGTGTGGCTCACAGGTGGCATTTCATGGCTTCATTTTGTGTAAGGAAGGAGAAGATGAACACCCACCATGCAGATCCCAGGCCCGTACCCGTGGGTCGTCCTGGGCTGTCTTCTCCGTGGGCCCCGTGAGCCCAAGTCGCAGGTGGACGTACAGGTGCTATGGTTATGACTCTCACTCTCCCTATGTGTGGTCTTCACCCAGTGATCTCCTGGAGCTCCGGGTCCCAGGTAAGAAATTCACAGCATTGTCTGGAGATCCCTGAGTCTCCGGGCAGGTGGGGAGGAGCCGAGTCTCAGGGCAGCTCCAGGTGGGACGATGTTGGGGTAAGAGGGCTCAGGACTCCTGGGCCAGAGACATAGGAAGATCAGCAGTGGTGAGGCCGGGGGAGAGGGAGGATTTGTGAGGAGCCTGAGGGTCGGCTCCTGGAGACCATGACCACCTTTCCCAGGTGTTTCTGAGAAGCCATCACTCTCAGTGCAGCCAGGGCCTGTCGTGGCCCCTGAGGAGAGGCTGACCCTCCAGTGTGGCTCTGATGTCAGCTATGATAGGTTCACTCTGTACAAGGACTGGGGACCTGACCTCCTCCAGCACCCTGGCCGGCAGACCCAGGCTGGGCTCTCCCAGGCCAACTTCACCCTGAGCCCTGTGAGGGTCTCCCACAGGGGCCAGTACAGATGCTCGGGTGCCTACAACGTCTCCTCCGAGCAGTCGGCCCCCAGTGATCCCCTGGACGTCCTGATCTCAGGTGAGGAGCCCAGCGGGTTCAGTCAGAGACCCAGGCTCTGCACAGGTCCTGCTGGGGGAACCCAGGTGGTGATGGCTGGGATGAGGGGTGGGAGTCCCAAGGGAGGGAGATACAGAGACAGGAGATGTGCAGAGAGGGGGAGACTTAGAGAAAAGAGACTGAGGGTCCCAGAGACAGGCCTGGGGAGGTCTCAGCTCAGAACAAGGCGGGGAGCCCCTCACCCATCCTCTTCTCTCCAGGACAGATCCCTGACACACCCTCCCTCTCAGTGCAGCCAGGCCTCACTGTGGCCTCTGGAGAGAACCTGACCCTGCTGTGTCAGTCACAGAGCCCAATGGACACTTTCCTTCTGACCAAGGCGGGAGCAGCTGATGCCCCTGTGCGTGTAAGATCAAGGAATGAATCTCATAAGTACCAGGCTCAATTCCCCTTAAGTGCGGTGACCTCAGTCCATGTGGGGACCTACAGGTGCTACGGCTCACGCAGCTCCGACCCCTACCTGCTGTCTCACCCCAGTGACCCCCTGGAGCTCGTGATCTCAGGTGAGGGCCCTGACCATGTCCTCTCTGAGCTCAAAGCTCAGCCCAGGCCCTGCCCCCAGGAGAGCTCGGGACACTAAGGAATGAGGGGAGTGAAGGAGGAGAGTCCCCAGGGGAGGTTCCAGGGTGAAAATAGATGGGGAACCTCCCACCCCTGGCTCCCACCCCTGAAGTAGCATAAAGAGCAGGGATGGCTGGGAGAAGATGGGGGTGAACCTCAGAGGGATGAGATTACACTGAGATTGGAAGACACAGGCCCCACCCACTCCCCTCCTGATGTCTCCACCTCAGTTCAGAACCTCGGGGTGTCCCAACCTCTAAGTTCTGACCCCATTGGTGATAAAAACACAGTCACTTCCAGCTCAAGAGGAGTTTCTAGACTCATCTTAATCCTACCTTCAATATTCACGGTCTGATTTTCAGGGGAACAGAGGAGAAGGGGGACAGTAAGAGTGTGGTCCTCGTGGCTTCCTGGGGCTCCAGGGATGGGGCAGATGTCAGAGGAAAGGAAAGTGTCTGAGGTTCAGTATTGATGAGTGGAGCAGTGGGGTCTTTCCCCCTTCCTGAGCATGATTCCCAGGAGCTGTCACCTCTCATATGGGGGCCAGGGCCAGGGGAGATAACGAGGCAGGTGCTTGGTCTAGGAATCCGGTAGGAGGGACCCTGGCAGGGGGTGTGTGTCTGTGATGGCTCAGCCTCCCCTTTGGAGGTGGAACTTCTAAGAAGTTCCCCTCACACCCTGGACTCCCCATCTGAATAAGGGGGAGCTGCCTGGAGGTGACTCCCCCAAAGCCTCCTCATTTCTGACTTTTTGGGGCATCTGAGATGTGGCTTAACCTAGACTTGCTCTCATATGCAACCCTCTCTGGCCTTGTCCTGATTCCCCCAATAACTGAGGCTTGTAAGGGTTGAAAAGCCAACGGAGATGGAGCAGGTGCCCGCGGTTTCACTCATCACTCCTGGGATCTCAGCTTAGTAAGACAAAGCCACAGTATTTTGAAAGTAACAAGTTTACAAAGCCCCACTGTTTTAGAATCTCCCCCTCTCTCCGTCAGAAACAAAAGCTCTCCAATCTTCTAGACCTGGTCCTGTGGGATGTGTGATGGGAAGAGAAAGGAGAATAGCTTGGGTCAGCAGGATTTGGGGTTCAGCCTGACTTGGACACAGGGAAGATGCTGGGACTGATGAAGGAGGAAGAGAGGCAGGCAAGCTGGAGAGAGGACAGATAGTCACTCCCTTTGCAGCTCTGATTTCTCATTTCCAAGAGCCCCTGAGGATGGAGCCCCTCACCCACACATGCAGTATCCCACAGCCCTCTCAGGACAGGAGGGGAAGCTGCTCAGGCTTCAGTGGGATCTGACTGGGATGAGGCTGGAGTTCACCTAGACCTGCTGCTTTAGAGAGAAGCACCCCAGCTGTGGGTACCACTCACATGGCCCCTCCTGTACTCACCTGGTGGCCTCTGTGCTCAGGACACCCCTGAGACTAAGGAGAGGCCATGTACCTGCTCCCTGGAGTGAGTTAGGGAATCAGCCACAGCCCGTCTTGTGTGTCACTCACTTCTACTCTGTGTTTTCTGTGTGTACTTGTCCGTCGTTACTCTCCTCTTTTCCAAAACTATTAAAGCAATACTTGAATATATAAATTTACAATTTTTATTTCAGTTAATGAATCTATTATTTTAAAATAGTTAATTCTACTTCTGCTTTCATTGGGCTTTGATTTAATTTATATATTCAATGTAGACATCCATTTTTTATTAACATCAAGTCTTCCTCCCCTTCACATTAAAAATGGAGGTTTCCTTCATGAACTTCACAAGTGTTTGGATGTGTCAAAGCACAATGGCCAATAAGCAAACTGACCAAGCGGCCTCTGTTGCATGTGAAACCTTCGGGTGTCAGCAGGGGCTGCAGTGCAGCTCAGCCCTGGGCCTTGGGGGGGTTCCTGTCCAATCTTGTCCAATCACTGGATGACTCTAACATCCAACTAAACCTCTTGTATATGAAAAAAGTGCTTTAAAATTGTTGATTTAAATTTAAATTAGAAGGGGACAATTTGGTAGTGAGTTAATAAGAAATACAATTAATATACCCAGACCAGTAGCTTTCTCATGGACACTTATCTCTTGTTTAAAAAATACAAAGGAATCAAATATTTCCCTTAAAAATTGTTAAAGGTGTTGATTGATTCTTTTGATTACAATGAACATAAGTTTTTAAATGTCTACCCAGGACACCCACCTGTTGTTGACAGGGAGGTTATATAATCTATATATAATTTTATATACAGCCTGTTATATAAGTTACATTTAAATATGTCTCTTCTCCCTGATTTTGATTCTCAGGAGCAGCTGAGACCCTCAGCCCATCACAAAACAAGTCCCACTCCCAGGATGGTGAGTGAGGAGATGCTCGCGGTCATGGGGCTGGCACAGAGGGTCAGGTCCTGTCAAGGGGAGGTGGGTGCCCTGGGTGGACATCCAGAGGTCCTGGGTGATGCTGATCCTCCCTGACCTCTGTGACCTCTTTGCCCACCATCCCCAGCCTCACAGCCCCAGGATTACACAGTGGGGAATCTCATCCGCATGGGCGTGGCCGGCTTGGTCCTGGTGGTCCTCGGCGTTCTGCTCTTTGAGGCTCAGCACAGCCAGAGAAGCCCCCAGGATGCAGCCAGGAGGTGAACAGCAGAGAGGACAGTGCAGCCTTCAGAGTGCTGGAAACCTGAGAACAGATCTAATGATCTCAGGATGTTTTGGGAGACAATTTAGGGGCTACATTTTCTGGACTGTCTGTTAATCATTTCTAGAGGGACAAGTACAGAGACCATTTCTGGGGTGATCCATGGAGGACCATGCACATGTGACACGTTCCTCTCTATGAATGTTGACTTCCGCTGGTTGGGTCCGATTCTTGTCCCTCCCCGAGACATGAGGCTCCATCCCGCATGGCAGCGTCGGGTCCGCACCTCTGCTCACCTGCGTGCTCTGGTCCATGGCGTGTAACACAGTCTTCTTCACTGCTCATCATCACACTACCTGGTGAGCTTTACTGAGCCTCCATCTCCTCAGTTCAGAGTTCCAAACGTGCTTCAGTAAATAAGTCAATGGGAGAGTATTGAATTTCAACCAGGAAAAGATGAATCCACCCTGACTCCCTAACACCCTCTCCAAACCCTAGGAGCCCTTCCCTCTTTCTCAGATGCTATCTGTGTAAGTTCTCCTCAGATCATTGTGTGACCGTCACTGCCATCCTGTTCCACAGCATCGTCATCCCCCGACACCCTCTCAGCCGTCACTCCCATTTCCTCTCCCTCCAGCACCTGGTAACCACGAGTGTGCTTTCTGTCTCTACGGATTTGCATATTCTGGTTGAAAACATTTCAATCCGCCTATGACCTGTGAGCTCCTCACTTCAAGACGTCCCGCCTTTCCAGGCAGAACCAAAGTACACCATGTGAAAACAATGACAGGCATTGACAGTGTGTTGCTGATCCACGAAAGGAAAATCACGGAAGTCGGAGAGAATCCAGCCGAGACAAGACCTCAGGCCAATGAATCTTGTCAAGGAGTTGAGCTGTTTCTTCCTACCCACTTGTGACAGTCAGATAGAAACATGCAAAAATGACTGGGGCTGATTCTTCTCCGACTTCTCCCAAACACAACAGGAGGCCTTGAGTCCCAGCATTAAAGTGTTAAACATTCCTGGGTCAAAACCATTGTTCTGTTTGAAGGATGTGAAACTGCCTCACAGGATGGAATGTTTGGGGAAGGATCCTGAGAAACATGAGGGATCCAATGTCCTGAACTTTCTAGGACAAAGGGAGCAGCCATCCACCTACCCTCGAGAGTAAAGAAATCATCATTCTCCATCCACCCCCTAGAATTAAGAAATCTTATTCACCGTTTTCACTGTACGATAAAGAAATGTTTTTAGGGACATTTTCAAAGCCTTACCAGAATATGAATGATTAAAATATTATACTTTGCCTATACAGCATCTTCCACATTCTAGTTTGATCGTGGCAAGCCAAAAATTTGAGCTAGATTTCAGCGATATCAAGCGGGAGACTCTGGCATCTGTCACTGATTACCTTTCAGCCATACCTGGCCACCAGCCTTTCCCATGGATCCCACGTGTGTCTCGTGACTCTCGGGTACAAATGCTGTGAACATGCTGACCTCTGCCTTCTACGTGACTGACCAGCACTATGAAATTGGCATAAATATAAAAAGAAAACATACTGTCCCCACATTCCCTAAAATAAAACTGGGTCCTCGTCCTTGGGCTTTTGCTGGATTATATTAATAAAAGGCATATCTTACAGCATATTCCATAGACTCACATCTCAGAGACGATTCCTCCCACAGAGAAGATTCTCAGGGCCCTTAACACATTGCTCTACCCTTGGGGCTTGGAGACACTCTGCACTTGGGTCTTCACCCCACCGGGGCGCCCTAATTCCTTCTTCCTCCGTGTTTCATGCAATGGGTTTTCCCAGTACTGCTGTCTACTCCTCTGCAAGAAACTCCTCGCTGGTTCCACTGCAATCTCCTCGGCTTCTATTTCAGAAATGGAAACGGAATTCTCCACATACCTTGAAAAGCAGAATTATCCAAACACTATAAAATACAAACATCCATCTAGCAAAATATTTCTTAGTACATCATAAATTCAAATATATATCATACACAGTGACTGAGGATTTTATATAGTTTGAGCAGTGTTGATATTATAGATATAATATAGATATTATATATTATAACTTAGTTTGCAGTGAATGATAAAAAACTAATAGATAATATAATGTATAAGATAGCCATTTAGAAAGACTTAGAGATTTTTTCTTTTTTGTCCACTAAATACCTAACATTTTATGTGCAATGCCTGCCTTAAATATGGGCATTCCTTCCTTTGAGATATTGTTCATAAATGTACACACACATATATACTCACACATGAGTATTTACTGTACAGTAGCATCTACAAATACTGTGTATACACACATAGTGTGCTTGTATGTAATATGTAAATAATACATACCACCTAGAGTGAGTGTGTGTATCCTGTATATCAGAATATATGTCGATTCTTTTCTCTATACAAACTCTGTAATATTCCTTTATACATCTACGTGCATATATAATGTGTGTACATGGTATTTATGTACATAATATATAAATATATACATATTAACATACGCATATATCAGAATTTGTTTTTCTATACAAATCCCATAATGTATATAACTAGAACATTTTACCATATATATGTACTTCAGACTGAAAATTATCTTGTATACATTACTCATTAATTTTTTCTCAATCTATCAGATCTTCATAAATATTTGTTTCAATCACCAAATAAATACAACTTTATGTTGTATATATTCTAAGAACCTATGGTTAGATGAATGAAAGTTTACATATATTTTCTCACCTTTCATATACCTTCCTTTTTTTTATTTTAATAGAGATCAGTCTTACTACGTTGCCCTGGCTGGTCTCGAACTTCTGGGCTCAAGTGATCCTTGGCCTCAGCCTGCAAATACCTTTTGTGCCCAGCCCTTACTACCTACATTAAAACACAAACTTTTAGTTTTAATTTCTAAATGTTTTGTATTATGTTTCATTTTGTTGGATATCAATATTTCCAAGAGGTATTTTAATAGAATACCCTACTTCCCTTACTGATTGGAAATTATCATTTTATTTTAGATGGTACTGCTGTGTTTCATGCATGGGTGTTATTGTGGGTATTGAGCTCTTTGACTCATCCTTCAGTAGGTGAATTACTCTTTTACAGACAGGGTAAAAAATGAATAATTTGGAAATTTCACCTATTTAGTTATTCATTCAATTATATATTTCTGAATGAGGATTCATTTATCCTTGCCTTTAGAGAAGACAGGTTCTAATTCCATTGTAGCTGAACTCTGAGTACTCATATATGTACGCATGTACATATATGAGTACTCGTGTGTGTGTGTGTGTGTGTGTGTGTGTGATTTTCAAATACTTGCCTGTTTCCCACTTTTCATCACTGTGGCATCTCACATTCTACATTTTAGATTTTCTTCTAACTGGATTACATCATTTAAAATCACTTTCACTGAGCATAAAAACAGTAATATCTAGTAACCTGCAGCTCAGAAAATGCCTTCTTCTTCCTCACACTCTCTCTATCAAAGTAGATGAAAACATTTCCGTATTAATTAAAAGATAGGATAGAACACCTGAAGAAAAAGCACATCTGATGATTGAGGGATCCACCCTCCAATCCCTCCTCAGCCCTCACACAGGGGAAGCCTGACCTGATCAGCTTCACAGGTCCATCTTACCCTGAGCTGCTTCTGCTTAGGAATTGGTCCCCTGCTAACCCTTTTACCTTTCAGATATTAACTTGGCTGAGCATCCAATTCCTCACTTTCAATTCATTCCTTGAAGATACTTCCTCAACATCTCCTGGCCTTTGTTTTTTCTGTTGGAAGTCCCATCCCAATGAGAAGCAATTCTTTTGACATGTTGAGTTGAAAATCACAAAACACAAAAATGCATTTTAAATTAGATAATTCAGTCTAGCATATGTATTTGTTAATTTCCTCCTATTTTTGAATTTATTTTGGTAGGTCAAGATTTGCATTTCATTCTGAAATGTATGCACCCTAGTGTCTTAGTTTTTCTTGATCTCTTTCAAATGTTTAACTCTTTGTTTCTAAAGCTGTTGCCAGATCTCATTCTCCCTTCTTTCCTTCTGACATGTACAATAAATATGACGTTATTCCTCCTCACAATATTTTCCCAAGTACTGTGAATTTCCACTGTTGGCCTCTCCTTGGTGCATTCTGGACAATTCTCTCAAACTTTGTTTTCCAATTTACTAAATGTCTCTTCAGCTGTATCTTGACCTTGATGAAATAAATATTTTCATTGTATTTCTTCAATTGGAATTTTTACCTCTAGGATTTCTAACTCATTGGTCTGATGCCCATTCTTCAAAATTATAATCCATATTCTTGTCTCAAAGATTCAATTTCCTCTTGTACTTTTTTCAGATATTTCAACATGTTTAATTGAAAACGGGTCTCATGCATTCCTTGTGTTCTATTTCTCTGGATATGATTATCCTTATCAATGAGTGTGTATATTGATAATCATAGCACTTTTTATCATTTGAAGGATAACTCTGGGTTGTCTATCTTTGTTAGACACTCACTTGCTACACCCATTAGTGACCATAAAAGGCTGTTCTAGTAATTGGGGCCTAAAAATAGGGAGTTGTTCCCGCTGCTCATGACATGTGGCACTCAGCTTCCAAACTTAGTGTCTGCTCAAGTTGCTCCCAGAAGAAATAAATCCACGTGAAACTCAACGTGGTACACATGCCCACATGTAACAATACTGCAGTGAATTTGTTTCACACACACCTGGGGAGTTGGCTCAGTGGGGATTATGGGCTGAGATCAGTAAGCACAGATTTCCCATCACAAGCTCCAGCCTTGCTGAGAGCCCCGACCCCTCCCTGCCTGTGAGGTCCCTAAGCTCCTTACTTGTTCTGCACAGAAATGGAAACTTCCACCCTAATGACCCCTAATGGCACCAGACTCAAATGCTCTGTTTTTTTGTGTGTATTTTTTTTGTTTGTTTGTGTGTGTGTGTGTGAAGATCCCATGTGTACTTGAGCTGAGGGCTTTCAGGGAGCCCTGAAAAGAGGAGAGTGGTAAAACGGGGACTTCATTAGGTACTTGTACGTAAGGCAAAGTACAAGAGTCTTCTTTGCCTTAAATTCTCCTCACTCCAGC